TTTTTTTTATCTTTAAAATCTCTTATCGCTGCGCATGTTTTGAGGTCTAGTGAGGTGCGATTATCGTTTCAATGTGTTATTGTGTTGCGATGCTTGTTTGCCACTGGCAGCGATAGTGCAGCTTATCGAACAAAAATTAACCGCAAACCTGAATGTTACACTTGAATCATATTGCGTATATCGCTGTCGTAGTTACTGCTGTGGTTAGTAGTAATCGTGAGAGATGTTGTTGGCATAGTGTGGAAATCACCAGTAGTCCCATGAGATAATTGGCAATAAAAATTCATGTTAATGGATAATTAATCATATTAGCAATTAAGTTTACATTACCACAGATCACGATATCATATTTGTTTTTTTTTTTTTTTTTGCGTTTTTTGCGTTTTTTGTACGTCTGGCTTGGCCGCTGTGAGTGTATATGGATTGAATATTTAAAATATTTCTTTCAATTTATTAAAAATTACATATAAATGTCCATCTAATCGTTGATTGGTATTCGAAGTAAGAAGTGAGATATACTCCGTCCCCGTCAGACAAGTTTCGAACAGGAATCGAGCGCTTAGCAAAAGTTTGAATTTAACAGGAGAAAAGACAACATTCCGACAACATGTCTATCACATATCGGATGCTTGCTCTCACGTTTATCTAGTTATTTATTTAGCAGAGCTACCTTTTTCCATTAAATTTATAAATAACTAAATAAAACGATCGATAATTTGTTCTAAATTCCATATCAATCGATAAGAAAATGCTAACTGTGACGCTGTAGCTGTCAGAGGCAATTTAGCTGCGCTTTTATTTAACGTTAGGTCAAGTTTCGAGATTCTTAAAAACAAATTTCGTTCCTCAATAAGTTCTTGTTATTTGGCCGAGCGATTTAAAGTGTGAAAGCCTTAGAACGTTTGCAATCTTTTTTTAAAAAAAAAAGTCTTCCGAATTTTTATTTGCTATACTCTGAACCACATGTGGTACAAAGTTTTATTTAGTTTGTGCCGATGTCTGCAACAGTCAGAAGGACTTACGATAGACCCATCTCTTTATTCCAATGCTGGATTCAGAGACAATTTCTGAATCTAGTCAACATTGTCTGTCCCAACATCCGCATGCTTGCCTTATTTTTGAGTTTAATCTACAGGTCGCATTTTTTGTACACTTGGTACACTGACATGTTCTGGCCGAAAGACGAATGCTATTGACCTGGCGGTAGGAAGCTATACCAAGTTTGTGCCGAAGTACGCAGCGCTCAGAAGGACTTAAGCCAGACCCATCTTTTCATTATAGCAATCGATTCAGAGTCACTTTCTAAATCGACTTAATCTGCTCTGTCCATCCGAAGATTGAATGCTATGGAAAATGATTCAAATGGGACTATTTTGTCGACCACTTCCCACATAACAGCTTACTTTCAAAAGTTGTTATATGAGTGACTGCATGAAGCAAAGTGATGTATGGAAATGAACGATCGGCCATGACCTACTGCAATGCTTTTGCTTGAAATTTTTCGTATAATAAAATTTTTAATTCAAGCTTATTAATGCTACCGAAATTTTAAAGCTTTCCTAACCACTTAATAAATGCTTTAAAGTAAGCTATTAATATAATAAGCAAATTTAATGGTCATCGTAAAAATTGTACACAAAATTTAATAATGTTAGTCCGAAACCAATAAACAGCAATTAAAAGCTACTGGATTTTTTTCTTTCTTCTTTTTTTTGGAAAAATTCTCTAATCATCATAAATGAGGATCAATTGGAGAAATAAATTTATAATGTTATTAAAATCTCGTGAAAATCAGGATAAAAAAACTAAGAAACAAAACAAACGATCAAATGAAATGAGAAATATTACGTACCGAAGCACTATAGAAAAAGCCATTCGAAATTGCTTAGAAAAGAAATTGAAAATAGAGGGAAGAGACGTAAGAGACATAAGAAAACTTGTGAATATATCACATTAGGCATAATAACGGAGAAAGGGAGTGCCTAACTGATGCAGATGATATACACAAACAAATGACCTAAAAAAATATATATATATAAATTTCTATTAGTCTTAGCATCACACACACAAAAAAAAACCTTCCGCAATGCCTGAAATTTTTTTACTTTTTATTAGTCCAAGTTGAATAAAGAAAGTGTTGGTGGTCTATCGAGCACAATATTTGTTTGTTTGAATATGTTTCGTTGTCAACCACAAATCATTGATTGTTATTAGCGCTTTAAGTCTCAATACGGGAGTGACAACAATAATGCGTTTGACTTCACGCCACGACAACGATATAAATTCGAACGTGTTATGGGTGGTCACTCAATTGTTTATTGTTATCATTTTACCCGAAAAAATTTGACACGCTAACTAAGCCATAAACTATAAATCTAACAATAGAAACCTTTACTTATAAATTTTGAATTCTGAAATTTTTAGGGTTAATATCAAAATCAGAAAAAAAAAATGATTTGAATCATATCAACATAAATCAAGTGTTAACACAATCTTAATTACAAAAAATTATTTTTTTTTTTTGGGATTAAAACCGCATCTACGGTCAGTATAAAAAAACAATTGTTTTCCAAAACTGAAAAATGCGACTTTTGTATTGCTTTTCAATTGTGTTACAAATCTCAGCGAATATTCGGTTGTCGACCTGCTAAATAACAGAAGAAGAGAATTGCCTTACGAAATAACGCATCGCTCATCCAATTCGTAGGAGGATATACAGGAACGGAAGTACTATTGACCAGTTTAGTTAATACGAACCACCAAGTGGAATGCATATATAAGACTCCGCCCATTAGCTTACAAGTCATAACTGTTTTAACGGCACTACACAAAAAATCCAGGGATAATCAGCTGTTCAGTAAGAACAAACAAACGCGAAAGCTAACTTTCAACAACCGCCCAGACATCCTACAAAAATAACAGCAGCGACAGTAAAGCGGCAACTAAAGATCGGCAGTGAGAGTGGTACTCAACTACTCCGCTATTAATATGATAGTATATTCCAGTCGATAATTATAATATATTGTTAGGTGTTTTTTCGTTTTTACACTTTTTCTTTGAGTGTAAATTTCAATTTTATGATAGTTCAAAACTCCAAATATTGTATTTTGATAAATATATTAGATTCAAAAAATCATACTACTACAGCCAGAATAATACGGAATTTTCGTTTGAACGTCTAAAAAAGATGTAGATTCGTTAATAACAGCGGAATGTGTATAGCCATCCTACGAACTTATTGAGTGATGTCTTACTTACATTTTCAAAATACTCCAATCTTTCTACGAAGAAAGCATTATTGCATTAGGGCTTGAATATTTTAATGTACTTGTAGAAAATGCCCAAAATTCCCTTAGGGTTAAATTCGCAGCGGGAAACAGCTGAAGAATTGGCATGCTAGGGGGTGTCCTGTTCGTTTTCAACCCAATTATTGAAAACGTACGTTAGGAGTTAAACGCTTCTTCCAACATTCTCAGACGGGAAAAGCAACTCGTACGTATCCTTTAATTTTCGTATCTGATTTAAAAATCGATTGATTTTGAGAACCGCCATCACAATCGTATCTGATATTAATTGTAGAGCTGTTAAGCGAAAACCTTAAATCGAGACACGGTAATGGCAGCAGCAAACGACAATGGTCTATTGACCATCTTTTATGTGATTTCAACAAGGAGCGTCGAGGTTCTCTTTGCAATTTCTATCCAGTTTTTATGGAAATTTACTTCTTACCATAATTATTATTAGCCTTGAATGGTTGACGAGAACATAATGAATTTTTTCAAAAATTTCCAATTACTGGTAGAAGTTATTTTCACAAACGCCTACAAATATGGAAATCTTATTTTGAATTTATTAGTTGACGGGACGAAAGAACAATAAACTAAAACTGAAAGAAAATCCCATAATTTCCAAAGAAAAATTCCCCATAAGCAAATATTTGAGCTAAACTCAAGCAAACGAGAACAAACTCATTATATATTAAACGACTCGAGCCAGAAAAACAAAAAATAATTTCACTTTTCATTTGAGCACACAACAGCAGCAGCATCAGCAGTCGTTGAGGCAGCGCAGCCTTGTATGAAAAGTCCCTCAATGATCAAAACAATTCACATAATTATGCTGATTGTTTACGTTTCGGTTTTCTTTTTTTTCTCTGGTTGCAAAAAATAGACAAAAGAAATGTTTTATGTTTATACATATGACCAAAAGACGAAGGTGTACTAATCCTATCATTCGATATGCAGCATCCGCGATATACGCATCGCAGACTGTACACAATGCACGCATACTTATGCATATGTGTTTATATGCTTACAATAGGTCAGTTTACGATTGTCTAGATCGAGTAAACTTAGGATTATGGACTCGCCACGACAATTGGAGTGTTTATAGCTGCAGGTGGAGTCTGTAAAAAGTCCGAATTCGAAATCGATCGATCATAAAATTGCGGTCGAGTAAGATATTCAAATTACTATCGAGCGATACATAAATCGGAACCAGATTTTGTGTTAAGTGACGCATATTAGTTTATTGTGAAATTGAGACAAAAATTTCAAACTCGAAATATACGGCCCTAGGCCGACCGGTCGCTTGGTCGCAAATCCTCTTTGCTGCCGGCTCTGTTGCGCGGAATTTCTATGCTTTTCTATACTCAAACAAAATTGTTCGCTTAAGTACGATAAGTATATTTAAGAACACTTTTTATTTCGATTGAGCGATTGAGAGGGAAAAAGTCCTCCAATGGTCGTAGACTTGTTTAGGGTGAGAAATATTCAAGTTTTACCTAACTTTTTCACTACCCGGCACTTTTAACGAGGGTGGATGTAGAAATTAGTTGGGAAATAATTTTAAAGGCATTATAAATATGTCTTGTTGTTGTTATTTTTAAGTTATTATAATGTGCGGGAGTCGTGCTCGATCATATCTCTCTTTGAAATCATTTCAATTGCAGGCTTTGTAACGGAATCATTCTCGACATTTCCAGCGCATTCGGACAACAAATGTTTTTTTGTGAAAATGAAATACCAGTGTTTTGTTGTTTATATGTGTACGCGCAAACAAAACAATCGGTTGTATACGTTTTGGGGGTTAAAGTAATTTTTATAATACAATCAAATCAAATGTTCATTTAATTTACATGTGCCTTTGTGCGCTTGTATTGAATACAAGCTTCACAAGCCACCGTAGAGATTTTATCGAAACAACACAAAAACGCAGCTGAAATAAATAAAATAAAAAATAAAAATTAAATATAATTGTGCTATATATGCAACAATAAATGTGCGAACTATGAAACAATTTTCCATAATACACCTGAAAAAATGACAACAACACAATTTTTCATATTATTAACGTAAAAAACATGCTGAACACTTTAACTCAAAGAGAATTCGATTTTCTAAGTTGTCGTCATATCATGAATTAAAAAAAAAAAATCCAACGGAGATTCATTTCTAAGGTGAAATATCTGGCCGAACAGCTTACGCTTACTTTGGCGGATTTCCTAATCGCAGGTTTGTCTACCCGAAACAAGTAATATTTTTAGCTCTAAGCAGGGAAGCTTCCAGTTTTGTTAATAGTCGAATATATGACCTTACATCTAATGTAAGCTAAGAGCATCAGCTGGCTTTTTCCTTCCTAAGACCTTAGCTTGGCATATTTCTTCATCCGCTTAGCAAACGCTCTTCCTTAGAAATAGATGTGCGGTATATAAGCTACCAGAGAATCTTTAAATATCTCGTTTGTGTACAGAACAGAATGTGTATAGAAACAACCTAGTCATTGCGATGGAGTTGAAATCTTAGAACGACAGGACTTATCGGTCGTAGCTGTGGTAAGTGCTTAGGTAAAGCCGCAACAATTGCTGGCAGAATAAATACCCACTAAGCTCCGGCCGTTTCCTCTCATTCTCTTTCCTCAATTACTTCTGATCGCCTCGTTAGACGGCAGAAGACGATATATATATCGAACTATTTAAAATGTATTTGAACTGGTTCTCTTATTGGTTCTCTTACCTTGAACGCAATTGATTGTTTACCCTGCCCGAGCATTTGCTTTGTCAGTCATACCGCTAATGTTTTGGTACTCTATTCTCCTTTCATTTCCTTATTGGCGAGAAGCCACTGAAGATGCTGGATTCCATTCGTTGCAAAGTAAAATTTTAGATAATACTTTTCAAGTCGGTATTATCTGCTCTCTTATACGATTTCGAGTAACTTTTTTTCAATTTAAGAAATTCGTTGTCTGCCACATATTCCTCTAACACGAAAGAGAAACTAGCTTCGAGTCGGTCGTAGAGTTCAAGCAATGCTTGAACTGAGATATTCATCAATAAAAATTTGCTCTAACGTCAATTAGTGATCACAAGAATGAGTAAATAAACCTTAAGATAAAAAAACAGGAAAGAAAAATGAACGACATGATGGTCATCGTGGTCTACGCTATGGATTTAATTTCTGTTTAATTGTTCAGTCAATTGAGTTGCTTGTGGTGCCATTCAATTTCACTTCAAAACTTGTGTGTAAACAAAAAATTCTCTAAAAAAGAAAAAAGATTGCAAAGCATCGTTTAATATGTTTTTTAACGTTTCGCTCACAGAAAATTGGCTATGAATAGCATAAAAATTACCGAAAACACAAGTGATGATGTGCAAATTGTAGAATATGAAGTAAACTGAAATTCAGTTCGCACCGATCCGTGCGTACAAAATGACAACCAATCTGTCTGCTTTGACATCTATTGAAGATTGCATTGTTTCCATCTAACAAGTAAAAATCTTGTTGAGAATTCAGCTTTCCTCGTACAAATTCCCCCGAAACCATTATATAGTAAATTTTTTGGGTTCGTCTTTGAACTGAAGGGGATGTAAAAGCAAAAGAAATCTTTTTTTTTTTTAGCTGAGATTTGGTGAATCCTTTCGAAACCGAATAGAAAAACTTTTTTTTTTTTTCTATCTCCAAAGAATGAAAGGTATATTCACTATGTCAAAACCTTTCCAAGAGTCTGATGAAAGGACATAATATATATATTTTTGATCAGTCTGTCCGTTTTTCCATCCGCTTAATATCGATTGCAAGCATTCGCCTGGCCGCAGAGTCCACTCCGTGGCAAAGACACTGGAAGACATTGGAACACCTTGTACGCAGATTGAGCTGTAAAATGGACCAAATCGCTCAAAGCACATGTCCAGTACAGTGTAACGTAAACTAAAAGCACCTCGCTTTCCTGGAATTTTTGTTCACCTCCCATTAACTGTAATAGAAACACGATGAAAATCTTCATGTGTGTTTTATATAAGCGACACTCACCCAATATTACGGAGTATGAAGGGTTAGTTTTTCATTGTTCTTTGTTCAATTTTTTTTTAGGCTATAGATGGTGGGTATGAAAGGTTCGGCCACAAACGAATATAATATTCTTGCGTTTTTTTCTCAGAGCCGATAGCGTTAGTTGCTAGTGCTCGTCTTACTTAAATTCAAGAACTTATTTCCTTGGCATGAATAAATTATAATAATAATTTTTTTTTTTTTTTTTCAAATGAACAAACACCAGACAAGACCAAACACCTAAATATTTTTTTGCATTCTATTCCGTTTAGGCATAGAAGCGATAGCGGTCCCCCTCAATCTGCATATTTTGTTTGAATGAAACATTTAAAATCGGCAGCAGAAAACTGTATCTTGAAAATTTCATTTCAGGTTTTCTCATATTTTCAGTTAATTTGTTTATTTCATTTAATATCTGAATGCTGTTTCGTTTAATTGTCTATTTTAAAACTATTAATTTTCATTTTTGTTTGCCTTCTTCTTTCTTATGTACTGGTTGTTGTTTTCATTTTGCGCTTCTTCTCTTCAGTTTATCACGTAAACTAATAAAATCAATCATCATCACGCTCGTTAGAAAAGAACGACATAAACAAGAACATTTTGTTTGTAACATTTCATGCAACCACTTTGTTGATATTTATATGACGTCAATTAATTTATAATAGTTGTTTTAGTAGTGATTATAAAGAGCGATGGATTTTGTGGGTCAATCCAATTGATTCATTTTATATGGATAGCAAGCAAGCAAACCATGTGAGGAAATTATTTTCGATTTAGAACGAACCTTGAATACCGCCAGGTACCAAAACAAATTTTCCCTTCTTTGCTTTCTAAAATTCCGTGAACCTTGGTTTTGCAATTCGGACTCACTCACTTAACAGCAACTATCGTCAAAGCGATTAAATATTGAAATCTTTCGAAAATCCCTCAGGGTAGTAATTATAAAATAAATAATCTGAGGACTTTTTTTTATTCCTTACTTGAAAAGTATGTAAAATTTTATGGATGCATATGTTTAAACTAATATACCATACAACAGCCAGGGACACATGGATAACACAACAGCTAAAACAAATGTTTATATAAATGAGAACAGCCACTTAGGCGGTGTCCCCTATCGAAGAAGAAGAAGAGGTAGAGAGGTGGATTGGGAGGTGGGCAGTCTAGCGGGTGTACGCCGAAATATTTAAGTGTTATGCTCTTACTAATTAAGCACTCACTACAGCTGCGCAGTCGCAATGGGGCTGAGACCTTTTTATCATTGAACTTAACAGTCGCGACTCTTATGTGCTCGGCTATGCGTCAGTTCTTTAAGCGGATTTTTCTGCTTAGTTACTAAGAGTACTTGGCAAGATGTATCAAAGAAGACATGTCACAAGGTCGAGTCCCGTATACCAAGTGTTAATGAAGCATAGAGCGCAAAGTATTGATTGAATGGTAAACAAATCACAATTCATTTGTTAACTATTGATATAGTTTATCTGAATTTTTTTTTAGGTTGTGAGTTTTGTGCTCATTACTCCCAACAATTTGTACACTTTTGAGATTATTTTTATTGTATAGATTTTTTTGGTTCAATTTACTAAATGTATTACAATTTTTTGAACTCTCGAAATTTCGATTTTTTGCACTCTACTTTGCACTTGCTGCAAACTTATACTGGATTGTTTATAACAAAAGTATATCTTTTGCTTTCTTTTATGAATTTTTTAATAAATCTTTTCATTTCTCTTCATGGTGAAATGTGTGCTAACTACGTGTCTATGGCTGTATGTATAAAAATGTTTTTACACTGTTCCGAAATTCGTTTTCCTTTTTTTTGCTTCATTCCTCAAAAACGTAACATATGAAAGAAACTATTTTTATATCCAACACAGAGTCAAAAAAAAAGGGTGAACATCACCATATATGAGAAGACATTGTCATGACATTTAACATAAGTGAAATAAAATCCTCAAAAATATGTTCGGAAAGTACTTAGAAGCTATAGCGAATCTGTAACGAAACACATTGACCGTATATTGTAAAAAATAATAGAATTAAACTTAAAGAGGGAAGAAGAACATCAAGAGAAGAGTTCAAAGCAGGTTTGAAAAAAAGGGACTTACTTCCCTTGTGGCGGCAGGCTGCTTACATGGACATGTGCGAGCCTGCTACAGATCCTGAGGGCAACAGATTCTGTCTTCGAAAAAATGGTCGAGGAATAAAATACAGAAAGGATTTTGCTTGTTAACAGCTGTAGAAGTTTTTAAAGACTTTGCGTCACGTATGCGATGTGTAGCTTAGTATGCACACCTTTTTTATCGGTTTTCCAAATGATTGAAAAATATATAAAAATACGTTGGAAATTTAAACCACTCAGTTCTTAAGAAAATAGCGTCATGTCAGTCAGTGAAAATCGTACGACTATATATAGATGCAGATGAATATGAAATATAAACTAAGATCGAAAACAGAAAAACTTGACAGAGAAGAGCAGAAAAAAAAAAAAAAACAAAATAAAAATAAGTATATACATGCGTTCCGTATGTGTTCGTGTGTAAAAAGCCGAGTAAATATAATTAATGCGGTTGTGTTAAGCATTCGGAAATATGTTGTTTAACATCATCATTATGAAAAACATAGATGATGATCGCTCTAGTAAAAGGAACAGAACAAATAAATTCTGCATAACATGTGTGCTTGCAAAAGAACACATGAACAGCATTGAATTTACAAAAAAAAAAGTAAAACAGAAACAGACAAAAAAAAACACATAAATGCGTATAAAAATATCGACTAAAAGATGTTTGAAATGTCTCTCATTAAATCGTACTACACGTATCAACGCAAGCGACGCTAAGGGACTTATATGCATTTACATATATATATATAGATATATGTATTTATATATGGGAAATGTGTGTGGAAGGCTACCAGATAATAACAAAGTTATACAAAGAAGAGAAAACAAACCCTAATGGCAAACAACAATAACAGAAATAGAAACAAAAATTGGAAAACATGCATCATTTACAGGCACGGTAGACGACAAAATAACAATATTTGCCCTTGTGTCTTGTGCCATCGTAAAAATACTTGCCACAGATGGAGTGGACGCTTGCAACAATAGGAGTGAAGGGAGAAAGCGTTGGTTGTTCAACTAACTAAGTAGCTATTAAGTACATGCATTAAATAAAAAAAAATACGAGGTATAACGTTGTTCGCAGAATTTGTTGCAAATTGCTTATACAGAGAGAGAGAGAGAGAGAGAGAGAGAGAAATAGAGACGGAGGGACCGAGATAATAGAATAAAAGTAATGTCAATGAATTGCAAGAAAATTTCACTGCGTCTGTTAAACTTTTGAACACATAAGCCGGAGGACGCTGAACGCCGAGCAAATGTTTGCGTATATATATATATATGTAGTGTTTAATAGTTGTGGGGGGAAAATAAGTCTGCTACTGTTAGTGCTGCGGCTGCTAACGTTGCCGCTGCCGTCATTTATTTACTTTAAAAGAGATGCGGGATTTGAATGACTTGTCATTGAAGAGATCTTTTCAGCGATACATTATAAATGAACTCGAGTCGGAGCATTAATGTATTATACCGTTAATTTTTGAGTCAAATTCAAAAATAAATAATTCGAAAGCATAGCACACTCTCTGAATTGCTTCCACTATAGCACGATCCCATCTGTTCTTATAATAGCTATTATGAGTGCCTTTGTATATACACAGACGGTTTTTCTAAATGATCGTCTGACCGCCAGTGCTCGTATTTATCTGTGTGTATGCGTATTTGTATGCCGGCATTTCGAACAGGAGTATAATGTAAAATACATAAAATTTGCCTTAGACAGTTGGCATTTAACGCTGCTTCTATTTCAACGGACGGGACAATTTTACGTTGAGGTCTTACTTAAGCGAAAAAGAAAACAACGAAAATAAAGAAAAAATTTTTATAAAATTTGCTGAAAATACGTACATTTATATGCGTGTTTGTGTGTGTTTGTGAGTATAAAGGTTACAAGTGCAAAAGTCTACTCAAAAATAAACAAAAAAATTGGACTTTAACGTACAAAGAATTTTAATAAATAAAAAAATATTATAAATGTCTTAAGAATAATTGAAAAATTCGCTACGAGACAAGAGAGAGAAAAAGAGATCGATCGATGCTGGTCATACACAATTTTCGCAAATTAAATTATTAAAAAAGTTCCTCAGTTGTAAGTTGAGAAAATTCTTTAGAGAATTATTATGAAAAACAAAAAAAAAACAAAAGGAATTTCATTCTCCTTGAAGTAAATCTTTAGAGATTCCCATGAATTTTTTCTTTTGATATTTTTGTTTCTTGTATACTGCTTTCACGCCAGCCACATGAAATTTGAATTTTCGTATGATTAAATTTCTTAAAATAATTATGTGTTAAATTAATTCTATCCGGGTCACTCTGAGAAGCCCGTTAGAAAGGGAAAACAATATTACAATCTTTAGTATGTAAATAGTTAGTTGGTTAGCGTTGTCCGTGCAGAGACCCCCAAAAGAGCTATTGTACACTCCCATGGCACTAGCCCTCCAGTTTAAGGGTTCCTATGACTCCACCCTCCTTCTTAGATCTGGAGCAGCCTAGAGTATCTGGCGTTATGAAGTGTTCACCAGATACCTGGTGTTTGTTCTGTAGACGACCTCACGTTCACATGCGATATGATCGGAGGTCTCGACACTCGTCCGACAATTAAGTTTAATTTCCATTACTACATCAAAATTCGTTTTGCGCTCTATCGAATCCACCGAAAATTTACCCAAAACTTCGAGATTTCATTAAATATTTTTCCACTTCTTTCCATGTTTTGTTGTTTTTGATTTTTTAAGAACTAAAAGATCTCAACAAAATCTCTTAAGAGTTCAAATTGTTGTTCAGCTTATAATCACATGCATGAAGTCTTAAAGTGTATATGTGTGCGCAGACGTAGAAAGAGACTTTTGCTCCAAATCGGATAAAAAAGCGGAAATCTCTGCGACATTTTAATTAGTGTCAAGTTAACATATGTGCTTTTAATTAAATGACAACAATAACAGCAGCTACGAAGAAGAAGCATGCGAAGCGGGCAACGCAATATTAAGTAAAACTTTTTTACGTATTTGTTTAGTAAGTGTTTCAAAAAAACAAAAATAGAAAAACAAAAATGTGGCGACAATGTTATGTAATAGGCAAGAGGGCTGTGCAATGTGTGAAGTCTGATTTATGAGTAGGTATATGCATAAAATAGTTCAAGAAAGGAGAATTATATAATAAATAATGTAATTACTCGCTTAAATATTTCTTTAAAAAACATTTCGATTCATTTTAAATAATATTTACACTGATATATTACCTTTACCTTTAGCCCCAATAAATTATGGTACGCGCCAGCAATACATTTAATTTAAATTAATCCTAATCGGACCACATTATGTGTGTATGACCGAGATGCCATACTTCATATTTGTATATATATCCTATGAGCACGTATAGAGAATTTAAAATGTAAATAAAAGCAACTATAGCTTTAGTGAAACACGACCGGAAATAGATTACACCACTTCGCTTAACAAAGCTACTCATAACTCGATCTTACGAAACAAGGCGTTATCTGGGAAACGATCGGCCAAAACAATCCGTTGTACCAAATTTCACCAAGACATATCAAAAATTTGCGACACGTGGGTTGAACGTAAGAAAACAACTCGGGCGGACGAACAGACAGGCTTAGATTAGTTTAGAGAGTGGTTCTGAATCATGTAATGAAATGAGGAAAGGTGGGTCTACCTCAAGTCCTTCTGGATGTTGCGTGCATCCGCACAAAACGCAATGCACGTAACGTACTATAAGTGGTGTAGAATAGAGCTACAACATATTAATTATTCCCTCGATTCCCAGAAAATGAATAAAAGCCACATGGTGTGATCCTTTAAAAAACCCCATGCCACAGTTTGACGTACGTTTTTATCCTTCAACATGATATACCATATGTATACCACACCAAACGGTATAAATACATAACCTTTAATGACATCAATATTAAAAATTCTCGGTCCAAAAACTCGTAAAATTTCATTCCTTAACATATCAATTGCATAAGCAAAAGCAAGCCGAAGTATAAAAACAGTTTTATTGGTTTTTAGAACAGTGAGAACGATATTAAGAAGGTTTCATTGGCATGCCAGCGGGCCTCGAACTTAACAAATGCGACATTCACAGGCAGTTTTCTAAAACCCATTGATCAATTCATTGGATCTTTATCTACTGATAGAGGCAAAAGTAATCAGAGCTTCAGAAGTGCAAATTCGCTTTCTACTAACTATAATATTTTCTGGAGCAAATGAAGTTCTTTGCCATCGTTAATGTGAATCATCACTACGATCAAGATACTTACCATTCCATATAAAGCAGTACAGTAATGCATTCATTATGCCGTCAAAAAATTTTTCTTCCTGTTTTATCCTTATTTAAACAAACATTCAATCATTGCGCGATCTCTTACACTTTTCCATTGCACGCAAGCAGTGCTGCATGACCTCTTTAGCAGCTTAATTTGAAATCAATAGTGTGTTGATGTGAAGAACGGAAGTTGCCAAATACGCAATATTTTTGTCATCTGTATGTCAGGCTACAAATTTTCTCAATAAATAAAAAAAAAAAAAAAGAAATCAACTTTAAAGTGCGTCAACATAAATACAAAGCAAGGCATTTGGGACCTCTTTTAATGAGATATTTTCACTTGCTTTTAATTGTGACTTACGTTCGGTATCATCAGTTCTTTCACAAGCATTTTTAATACCCTACGCATAATTTTTATACCCTACACAACTTGCGGCAAAGAATCATATTAAGTTAGCGCAACACTCAAATGGGACCTGAGATCTTCAGTCAATATCGTTTTCCGAATCGATACAAGCTTGTATGTCCGTTTGTCTTTCGTTTGTTTTCTAGTGTTCAACCTACAGGTCGTCACTTTTGAGATATTCTGATGAAATTCCGTACACCGACTTGTTTTGACGCAAGGACGAACCGTGCTGAAAATAGTTTCGATCGGACCTCTTTTATGATCACTTTCACTATGACTCCTTTCGGAAGTCGCTATGTGAACAACATTATTATATTAAGCAAAGTTCAACAGGGTAGTCAGTAGTAGGCGGTATCCCACTATAGTATTCTTATTTGTTTAGCATAGGAAAATTTTATATAAGAAAATTAATACGTGAAATATACCGTGTGCGTAGCTTATGTGTGAAATGCTTCATATTTTACCGGAAATAAATTGCACAACTCCTGTTGCGATTGTGTTAAGCAGTAGTAATGTTTTTTAAAACAAAATCGTTGAAGCAGTGTGTCTTTAACAGTGAAATCAGCGACTGCTGCCTGTTCATATATTGTTTGCGAATAGCGTGTGCGTGTTGTGCACACATTTTAGTTAATTTTCGCGAACTTCATAATAGAATGATTTTTAATTTTATCTTTGAGAACTATTTCGTTACGAAGAATGGGTGAGGGAGTGAGTGCCCTTGAAAAAAGAGAAACACGTGCAAGCATTTCACACAGAGTAACCAAGTGTCTATAAGGAATTTAATCTATTTTTGGAAGGCCTTTTGGAATATAAGCATTGCCTCTTCGTTTAAACTAATGCTTATGTCATTATTTTCTCTCTCTATTTTTAAAGGTCTGAAAGCATCATTAAATGATATTTACATGCGCCAGTGGTCGCACATCCCATCGACATCTATAAAACTAAAGCAGCCTCTTTGTAAAGTAACTGCTACATGATCTCCATTCGCGTTAGAATATAATTTTTTGTAAACATTTTATTACTTGCACAGAGATTAACGGCATACTATTACTACTTCAGAAAGTGCTGCCATGAAAGTGGATTAACTGGAAAAGATGTACTAATGCAACGATTAAATGAGACAAAAATATTTTAATGATTTGAACATCAAACGATTACCAACAAAAATTTAAACATAGCGTTGGGAGTGAGTGCCTCGCAAGCAAACACATGTTGCTTGCAATCAACAGGCAACGAAAATAACAACAACATGTAGAGCATTTATTGCTTGCAGGAGGAAAAAAAAAGAGTATCTGCATAGTTTATAAGTAGAAATGCAGCAGAGGATGTTAAAGTATCTTCAAAATAACTAAAGTGGATTTCCGGTGCATTGCAGCATCTGAACTCATAAATCAACAATAATAGCAACAACAAGAACAACGCCTTACAGCGTATACGATACGCAAGCAGCATATGTTCAATCAAATATTGTCACAAGATCGTTGTCGCGGGTAATTAAACAGCAGTTGCTCTCTTCCTTGTCTTCTCCCTTTTTTCTTTACCATAAAGTGCTCAAGCATCACTCACATGCGCACCATAGGAAAGAATAACAGAAATATTGAAGTGTCTTAAGGTCTATAAAAGCAAAGAGATTTAAATTTCTAAATGCATATAAAATTTATGTCCTCAGCATTTGTTGAACAACTATAAAGTAGTAATTTTTTACCATGGACTTGAAAAATTCATTTACCGGAAAATATTTATTCTTGTTAACTGTGATACTAGTAAACTGTATCAACTGCAGCTCTGCTGTCGGGTCACGTCCCATCTCCCACGAATTGACGGATTACGATTTTGTTGATGGCCTTGAAATACGTAAACGCAGTGATTCGCAGGCTGTTCAAGCAGCGTCCATGATGGATCACAGTCAAGATCTCGAAGCTGACGAAGGGGGAGGAGGAGCCACTTCCAATAGTGCAGGAGAGCAGAAGGACTTTATGCCCCGTTTTAAAAATGAGCAAAATCTTAGCAATATTACAGCTAAGCCTTCGGGAAGTTATTTACAACTTTCATGTCCGGCCGTAGGTAAACCAGAACCGCAGGTTACCTGGCTGTTAAATGGCACTAAATTTACTCGCAGTATTGGCCGCGTAAAGAAATCAAAATTTTCCATTTTTATGGAAGAGCTAGTGCCTAGTGATTCCGGCCTATACACTTGCAAGGTGTGCAATCGGTTAGGATGCATTGTTCACACCACCGTTCTGTACATTAATGATCGCGTAAATCATAAGCCCATTATACTCGTGTCTCCTTCAAATCTCACTTTATTCGTTAACGAAAGCGGACAAATGGAGTGCAAGTATCTTTCGGATTTACATAGCAGTAAAAGTTGGGCGTTTAGTCCTTGCAATAATACTCACAATTGTTCGGGTAACCGAACTATTATCCAGCAAGGAGAAGATTTTTTAAAATTTGTAAACGTTACAAAAGAGCAGGAGGGCTGGTACACATGCATGGAAATTAATAGTTTAGGCTCTTCTTCGACAAGTGCTTACCTGCGAGTCAAGGACCCCAGTGAGACCAAAGTCACTAAAGTAATACGAGGTCAAACATTGTGGGAGGTGGTGGTGGCTACTGTAATTGTACTCATGTTACTGCTCCTGACAATTTTTATAGTTTATGTGTGGCGTAAAATGAAGCATGAAAAGCTTCTGAAGCAACGCATTGAGACCGTGCATCAGTGGACGAAGAAAGTGATAGTTTATAAGCCAGCCAGTGGCGATTCAAGTGGATCTATGGATGGTATGATTATGCCAGTAGTAAAAATTGAGAAACAACGTACCACGGTACTACAGAGTTCTAACTCGGAACCGGCTCCTTTCAATGAATACGAATTCCCATTGGATTCGAATTGGGAAATACCGCGCAATCAACTAATATTGGGAGCTACGTTGGGTGAGGGAGCTTTTGGTCGTGTTGTTATGGCCGAAGTGAATAACACTATAGTCGCAGTGAAAATGGTTAAAGAAGGCCATACCGACGATGATATAGCCAGCTTGGTACGCGAAATGGAAGTAATGAAAATCATCGGGAAGCACATCAATATTATCAATTTATTAGGTTGCTGCTCTCAAAACGGTCCTTTGTATGTAATAGTTGAGTTTGCTCCGCACGGCAACCTTAAGGACTTTCTCAACAAGAATCGACCAATGGGTAAAGAATACGATAAGGATAGCGCCAATAATCCTTTGCCGCCGCATCATCTGACCGAAAAGCATTTGATTTCATTTGCCTTTCAAATAGCACGAGGCATGGAATATTTGGCTTCACGACGATGCATTCATCGCGATTTGGCGGCTCGCAATGTCTTGGTCAGCGATGATTACATCATGAAAATAGCCGACTTCGGCTTGGCTCGCGACATTCAAGATACCGATTATTACCGCAAGAATACTAACGGTCGTTTGCCCATCAAATGGATGGCACCAGAATCGCTGCAAGAGAAATTCTATGATTCGCAAAGCGACGTCTGGTCATATGGTATATTGTTATGGGAAATTATGACCTTTGGTGCCCAACCGTACCCCACCATAATGTCAGCTGAAGAACTGTACACCTATCTAATGTCCGGTCACAGAATGGACAAGCCAGCAAAATGCTCATTGAATATTTATATGCTAATGCGTCAGTGTTGGCATTTTGATGCAACGGCGCGTCCTACATTTGCGGAAATTGTAGAAAATCTGGACAAACTTCTCTTGGCTAATGAAGACTATTTAGATGTAGCAGTAGCTAATCTAGAGACACCTCCTTCCTCAAGCGACGACGAAGAATCGGAAGCAGATTCTTTACGTTTCCATCATTACAAGTGATAGGCGGCGAGATGAAGGACTACATCTCAAGAAACTTGTTATACGATTGTTGCATTCTAATGTAAATAATTAAAGTTTAAGCTTAAGATATAAATTTGTGCTATCTGTAAGAAATCGAGATTCCGCTTAAGCGCAAACACTTTAGCTGTAGAGGTTTTGCTCGGATCTTAGTGTAAATAATAACGAAAAAAAAAAAAAAGATCTAAAATACATTATAGAAAAGTCAGCTAAATATCCAAAGACTATTCTTAGCTTATGATAAATAAAAACGACAACTCCCCCCCCCTCCTTCTCCAAACCTGTTCAATAAAATGTCTCAAAGCCACCAAAGGCTTTCTTAGAAGAAATACCGAAGTTATGTAAGTGAATTTAAGTATTTTTGTAGTGTTAAGTTTCAGTTAAAACTAAATATTTAACTTTTGAAAATATTTATTTATTTTGTAAGCATTTATTTAGTCGTTCTTAAGTACGGTGTTTATTGAGATTATTCTTTTTTTATTTTTGAAATTTTATATATGCAAAGATACCTTGAATAACAAACATATCAAATATTTATTTAGCTTAAGACTTTATACGTTTTCAAGCATTTTTTTTATGTAAAAACACTATAGTGGGTCACGGCCCGCCATTAAGTACCCCGCGTCACAACAGAGTTAGTCATGTAGCGACTTTTGAACCTCAGGAGTTATATGGAAAGAGGTCGTAGAAGCGGTCCGATCCGAACCGTTTTCAATAGCCAAGGCAAGCCGGTGTATCGAATTTCATCAAAGTATCTCCGAAATGACCACCTGCAGGTTGAACACAAGAAAGCAAGACGGACAGACGGACAGTGCACTATTACACCGTGAGTACATCGCACAAACCATACACCGCAAGTGGTGTACGATGTGGTTATTATTTAATAAAGCATTAATTTTTAACTAGTTTGTAGCTATAAAAATACAATACAATATATGCCACATGGTCTAAAAACTATCGAGCTTATTTAGAGAACCAGCCTAAGTTAATTTGAAATGTGTAAATATAAATGGTATGGATGTAATTAGTATATGGATGCGATCTCCTCTATTAATATTTTTCAACGCAACTTTAATAAAATCTATGTAAATATTTTAATTAACATAAATATTTTGTTTTTTGTCGTCGAAGCCGTTATAACTGGAATTTTCAAAATTGCAATTTAACACATTGAATGTCGCGCGGCCTAAATGGAAAGTTCAGTGTCAGTCACCGGCCACTGACAATGTGAAATATGATATAAAGTTAAAAAATATTATACTAATTTAAGTGCAAATTTTATTTAAAATTTATTTAATTTTTATTTATTGCAGGATTAGATCATTAGTGCATTTTAATGAATTTTATTGGAACAAGTTAAACATAGCAACGGTTGTCCTTCGCAAACATCACAATACGCGACAACTTGTTTAGTCATCTTTCTGGCCATTGCTCTACCGCATGGTGTCGTATTGCGTAGGGGGCTTCGCACTGCTATAACGCAATACCAGCTTTACTACGCAACGAGCGTGGCCTGACGGAGATTTCCTTCAGAATTCGCATGGCACTCAACCGGCATATTTAATTCTTGTTCAGCATATCTGTTTGTTGTAAATTTTGCTATGATAAGTCTCAAGAAAACGTTATAATTCTTCCAAGTAGAGATAATCTGTGGTTATATTTAGACATTCCTTTCCATATGTAATAAGCTTTTACTATGATAAGTAAGTACCTTTATGCAACGGCATTATGGTGTAGCGCACTATAGTAGCACGTGTGGCTTGACGGAGATTTTCTTGAAAACTCGCGTGGTAGTCAACTTGTTAAATAATAAATTGCTAAATGTACACTTTTATAAGGCTTTCATACTCAAAACCGAGGCAGGAGAAGCATCGGAATTTGAATCGATTCAAGCATTTCCGTCCGTCCATCTGTCCGCCTGCCCATTTATGTCGTATCTGGGATAAACAAAAAGAATTTCTAAATAATCCAAACCAATCGAAGGACACGCCCACAATGCCACAAAAACTGACAACACTTTTGTTTTCCGTGTTTTTTTTGCTTGTTGCTCATACGCTACGCAACCCGCAGCATGCAAACTTTCATTTATATTCTATAAAAATATCATAGCTGCCACGCCCACCCAATATCATAGAATTTATAGTTATAGAGTGGTAATTTTTTGTTTTGCATCCTACTAATATACGCTTAATAACCTTCGCAGATATTATGCTTTGCTTTTATCGCAAAAAAAAAATGGTCATAATTCTCTTTCTTTTAACTGTAATAGCGGCGTTACCCTTTGAGGCCTCTGAAGGGCAGAAAACGAATCTAAACAAGCTTGCCTGGATATTTTTATGGTTTTTTGTAATAATAAATACTTTTAATGCATTGTTTCTTTATTCAAAGTAACACACCGATGCACGAATAAGTAGCTGATAATGGCCCGCCTTCATCAATTTCCTTTTTCCTTTTCCCTTGCCTGCTTATCTTATTATAATTACAAGAGTTGTTCGGGTTTTTTGCTTAAAAAAAATTAAACAAATGTTCTTAGCCATTACACCATAAAGCAGGCGACACCTCATCAAATAAACAAATAGTAATTAAATAAATTTTTATTTATTTGTTTATTTGATAATATTTTTATATAAATTAAAAAAACAATAATTTTTTTTGATGAATGCCGACTTAATTCAACAAAATCATTAAATCTAATCACATTGATCGTCGCAAGTGGCCACTCGCCAGGCTATCTTTTACATTTGAGAGAGAGGGAAAGAGGCAAAGAGAATGGCTTCGAATGATTTCAATCAAGCTCACCCAGCACCCAGTTGTTTCGACATCATTCGGTTAACGTTTAGCTGGCGATTATTTATTTTATTTTATGCACATTTATATATATAAATATCTTTTTTTAACATATTAAGTGGAGCTCGAGCTGAGCGCTAATTACGAAAAATATAAACTATATGTTGAAAATATAAAAAAAGTATTTGCTTGATAAAAAAAAAAAAAAAAAAAAAAGGCTAAATATAATTTATTATGCTCGCCATTTGATTAGTCACCTGCTGCTAAAGCCGGCAATGCCATGGCATTAAAACTTTTTGATTTATTTAACATCAAACGCGCTAATTATGAAATCATATTTATGAAGCGAGTTAGTAAAGCTGACGAATGCATCACACATTTCTATATTATCGAATAGAGCAAGTTAAGAATAAATCACAAATTGTTTTCTCACTTCACCAAGTATTTTAGATACCCTTTTCCTATGATCCCCAAAATCTAAAAACCGCATAACGTAAGCAACATCATTATTATTAATTTGACGATAAATGAAAATTAACCCTTTCCCGGCAAATCGCATAACATAAGCCGCATCATTATTGTTAATTTGACAATAAATGAAAATTAACCCTTTCCCGGGTGTTTCGCACCACATCCCGACGTCACAGGTAAGTGACATAAGTTCTTGAGCAACTAAGGTCTGCTGTGTGGTGTGTTGACGTTTACACTTATTGTATGTTGAACAACGTTGTTTAAGTTCTGAAACGGTGCAATGTATGAAGACTGAGGTTGGCTTACAGTCGTCGATGATGTGTACAAGATTCTTAGTATCGAATGAGAAACGCCCGCAAGTTCTACAAAACCAACAATGAACAATCGATTGAACAGTGTATTGAAACTTGTTTTAAGATTTATCATACAAAATAAAACGAATTTCATATTGAAAACTTGAACTTTTTTCTCCCATAATCGCATTTATGTGACACATGAACTACAATGTTTAGTTTTTATCTATAGCCCTGCGTCAGGTATTTGTGTCAGTTTAGAAGACCGTTTTTTTACTCTCTTAGAATGCTCTAAACACATAGGCATAACGGCGACGGAAATTCCACTTTGGAAAAGTCACTGAGAGTGTTAAGAGGCGTCTGCTTGCAGATTGCTCCACTAAAAATTTAGTTATAATGGAGGCGCAAAACTTGAAAAACATATCTGCGAATAATTGAGGAGATCGGAAAAGTAGTAGCGCGGATTGATGTCTGGTGCGTGGTAAATTGATATCTACTCCTTGTACATTCAAATCCAAGAGGGTATTGGATGGACACCGTCCAGAAAGTATTTGCGTAACTACGACCCGCGTAAAGGACGTTACAGACTAAAACTATTGGATCTCCACGGGCCAGGTTTCCCACCCGATCAATGCCACATGTGCTCATGAAGAACTATGGGGGAATCTATGCATGACGATACGTCAGTAGAAACAGCAACTTACACATAAATCACATGGGCTTAAGTTGTACGTTTGCCTCATACCTTTGCGTCATCGTTCTGAGTTATACGTCGATGGAAGCCGTTAATATACATAACTTTATGAATACATTCTGACTGAACCTAGAAAGACATGATTAAAGTTTATGAAACTCCGGTGCCAAGGGCATATATAAATTATATAAATCACGCATGTTCTGTAGGAATGCTTCGGTGCGAAACTTCGACGGAAAAGCGTGTAAGGCCTGACTGTTGGGTGCGTTCCATCCGAGAGTACTTACGACGGTTACGGTTGTCTTCGATAACGGAGACATTAAATAGTTAAAGATGCTGTGGTGGCTTCGCCTTGCTCGTACCCAAACTTTCATACACACTTCAGTCTTGGAATAGGCCTTTGTCTGTAAGCTGTGGGGTGTCGGCGGTCGGAAGCCGCAAATTACCCGATAAGCCCGCGTATTTCATCTGATTAGACAATCAATCCGGGTGCAGACATTAGAACATAGACACATTAGTCGTCATATAACTAGGATGAAATTCTTGACAATTGATGGACACTTTCCACACACGCTCGTAATAGCGAAGAGGTTACATAACAATTCGAAAATGTCTTTACGAAGGCATTTAAATTTGCATTTATGTTTTTCTCAAACTCCGAGAAGGCATTGAGCAAAAGGAAATAGTCAAACTAGTATACCATAGGTGTAAAGGATTATTGCACTGGAGCCTGAAGAATAGCTAAAGAGATTAACGTGAAGATTATATTTAACTTGCAAGCAAGCATTATATGTAGCAAGTGTGTGAATATAAACAAATATACTTGATATTTTATATTTAGTTTCTCATCTTCGCGTTGTGGCCTTTTGCTAGCTAGCCAAACTACTTGGAACGTATGTTGTTATTGTTGTTGTTTTATTTATTGTATTTTTCGTTTTCCATAAAAAAGTTGTATTTTCTTTAATTACCTTAGCTTTCCATATAATTTAATCACCATTAAGTGAATGTAATCAATTAATTGCCTTAAAAGTGTACAAGTAATTTATGTAAGCCGTCGCCTGTCTGGTAGTATTATTACTTTAAAGCAAATTTACAACTTCAATATTAATCGTGTATAGTATATAGGATATATATATGTATGCGCACTTTTCCCAATTCAAACAAGAAAAAGAAACCGTTTTCTAAGTGATTTTATTGGCCAGTTTAGTAATTATTTGAAAATAAATTTTCAAACTTAATGACCGAAACGGCAATGAAGGTAAAATTGTTAAGCAAATTTTCACGTTCTTAGGAATCGTTAATTTTATAACTTGGCAAACTTTCAAGTCGACAGATCAACTTACAGTCATTGAGAATTACAAAAAAACAAGAAGAAAAAACAAAAGCCACTTCATGAAAAACTAAGCCAAGGAAACGATATGTTTTTCTTAAACTTTAGTTATTTAGTTACTATTTATTCGAAATTATTTCTAGAATTATTTGCGTTTTTTCCCCGCTTGAATTTAGGGCAAAAGCTCATCGACCACATGTAAATTATGTGGAATTTTCTTTCGCCCTGCCCATCTACTTCCTTGAATTATGTACTTTACTAGCCATAAACTTCCAAAAGTCAGTCACTTAGTTAATGAATGTCAGGCTGAGTAGCTTTATTCCTTAAAAAAAAATTTTTTTTTTTTTTTTTTTTTAGAAAATTTCATTAAAAACAATTCAAGAAACATCATCAATAATTCTTTATAATAATATGTGCAATTTTCATTATTTGAAAAACAGGTGCTAGATGATGTTGTACACCATAGCACGGCACCAGCAACAGTCTTTTGCAAATCAATAAAATAAACAACAGAAAATGTTTACTTTCAAGCAACCGCGTAATAAATACTCTGTTGCAGACAGTTTGTTGTCATAATAAATGTTGTTATTTTCGATTTACCGGACACAAGTAGACAAACTACGGTTATTTCGTTGCTATTATAATAAACACTGTGATAAACTGCAGTTGATTGCAAGCAAACGTAAATGAAAAAGAAAAAGAAAAGAATATGTAAAAAATTATAACAATCTAGTATTAAAAATTGTTAAACATTTTTCTAAATTTTCCACATATTCACACACACAACACACACACATACACACACATACATTCACACACATGTATATATGGGATATACATATGGGTAAGTTAAAAACATGAATAATTGTCTCGAACATTATATTGCTGATGAATAACATAAGTACAGTGGACAGCAGTGAGAAGAAAAGAAAAATAGAATATCAAAAAAAAAATAAAAATAAAATGTGGTAAGGATTTCTAGCTTGCAAAGCAAATGATAAACAAGGCAGTCTTGTCTTTCGTCCACGTCCAAGTCCTTAAAGAATAGTTTGCATAACTATCCCTTTTTAATACTTTCTAACCCAAAGATTCCCCAGCAAAACCAATTCAGTCTTTATAAGGAGAGAAAAGCATTTGCTTTAAAACGAGATCGTCATACAAACGACCCGGGTCCCAACAAAAACTGACATCTGTATTAGAAATTGTTAACATTTTTTATAAAAGTAATGAATCCGTATAAACAACGTTCTGCGGATTACGTGAAATTTATAGTCAACATAATCAAGCTACTGTTAGAACTATTCGTAATATGACCGAGAAGTTTTAATCATATAGTAATGTTTGTTACATTACGGATCCATTCCGTAAGCGACGTAAACAAAATCGAGAACAACTAGAGGTCACTCTCAAGAACTTGGATTTTCTTATGGCATCCCATGAAATATTCCTCACAAGGATTTGCATTTCACGGCATATAACATGTAGTTGATCCAACAACTTAAACCAAATGAGCATTTATTACGTAAGGCTTTATCACCTTGAAACAAAAAATATCTAAGACATTTAGTCATTAAGTTCGCTGGATGATAGTTCGTAGATGTCGTCACTAATGATGAAACAAAATGATTTTTAGATAGTGCCAACTCTCAAGCAAAATACATCAAATTTTGTGACCTTTCAACCATTAGTTTACAAGTCACAGCCGTTTCAGTGAGGCTGCATTCGATATGGAACGAATGATAGGAATGGATCTCCTAGGAGAGCTAGCCTTACTACCGACCGAAGCAAGAGGTTTACGTGATATAAATAGAAAGAATTTCATCGAGCAAGAACGGCCCCTTCTTTAAATTATTTGCTAACATTCCAACAATCTTCATTTCTGGCTGTGGCCCCCTACCTATGGTACAATACTTCCTCACCACTACCTTGCCCTTAGCTAAGGGAGATGTCTGCTTGAGTGGCTGCTTAAATACGGGGAAAACAAGAATATTTTTTTTTGTTTACATTGTTCTCGACTAGTTAGAAACTCATGAGCGGTTTAAAATTTCACGAATTTATTCTTCTTATATCGCTCACCATTTGTCGACTCTATTCAATTAAACGTTTTACTCTTTCCGCTTTCCTGCAGGTTCCCTAACAAACCGAGCTGAACCGTTACTTTGACTTTTTCAAATAAAAAAATCTTTATATTTTTAAGTACTTCGTTATATATATTGACTTTTTATTATTCAGAGTGTTGACGAATACTTCTGCTCACTGTTTCGCCCATTTCACGTAAAAACAACATCTATGTGTAGCAAGTGGATTATAGTAATTTAACACTGACTGTAAATTTTTACGTGTTAGATGATTAAATGTGAAATAAACTATAGAACAAAAACAACAACAACAAAAACAATAACAACAATAGCAACAACACGCATCAAATTTAACGAGATTTTCGTTTTTACACAACTGACTTAATGGCAATATTTACACCTCATCCGTAATGGGTCGGGGACGTCGAGACAGGTAAACTAGATCAAGTCAATTGTAATTATGTGATGTGGTTGTACGTGAGCGCCTGTGCGCGTGTGCGCGTGCGCGCGTGTATGTACATGAAAGAGAGATAATTCATCAAAACATCAGTTCCTTTGTATGCGTAGAAGACAGAGCAAAATGAACATAACATTTATTCATATGAACATCATAAGGAGCACAATGTAAAGATAATCACTCAAATTGCTTAAGACACAAATACACATACAACTAACGATATGCAAGCGTATATAGCAGGTTTTTATCGCTTGTAATCAACGTTAGTTAAGAGTTTTTAATCTATTCCATCTTATATAGAACGCTTGAGCTGGCAATGGCGCACAGGGGCTGCTAGTAGACAAACACAAATTACAGATATTTATATCAGAGTAAGCGTGTAATAAATACTTATAACACTCAATTGTAGTTATTTGAGAGTATTTATATGCCTACATATCCTTTCATTTCGCTTGAACACTCATTCCATCATTACTTTAACGGGCTTAGATTTATTTAAAGAATTGAGTTCAGACAGTGTTGTTCTTCTTCTTGTTCTTGTTCCAGTTTATTTTATTATCTATCGATCAAGAGATTGTTTAGTGAGTTATTTCATTGTAATGTTTCAACTACTGTTACATCTCATTCTATATCTATCTCTTTCTTTCGTTAAGCTATAATTGCAAACATTGTCAATATTGCGTTTATAAATCATTTGTTTATTATCTACGAACATCATAGAGATAAGCCCGCTTAGTTTATCTTTATCTGTTTGTGCCTTTATCCACATTCCTGGCAACGACGTAGCCAAAACAGCAGCAGCAGCAGCAACAGCAGCAGCAGCAGCAACTTATGGTGTCATTAATTTTTACTGATTTTGTTCAGAGTTATAATCGCAAAGTATATATCATGATCACCTCGCATGGATGACAAGCTACAATGAACATAAGTGCAATTTGCTGCTGCTATAGCTTTATATTTACAATTGTTGCTGTTGTTTACTCCTTTTTATCAATGACACGATCATTTGTAGCGGTAGCAAATAAAATTTTCATATATATCTTGCCATAGATCAACGCTTTCAATGCAAACATATATATATGACATATATACATACGCTTCCAAGATGCATTATTGAGTACATATATATTTATGAAAGTGTGATAATTATCACACATTATTTTGTAATATTTTCATATGTGCATAGTAAGAGATTAAACGAATCTCAGATCAGGAGAAAGGGATTTTGACTGAGAAAAGTTGTTATAAAAATGAAATACAAATGAAACAATAAACAAAGCATGAGTCAGTGCAAGCGCGACAGATTTCAAAAGAGAGCACTTCTTCACCATTAGAAAATTCTAGTCTAGTTATCGTATTTATAGTCAAGCAGCTAAAGTGTTTCTCATCATCATCTCGTCCCAACGAAAAGAACTAAGAAAAGCTTTAAATATTTGCAGATGTTTCTTAAATCACGAAAAGTTCTGAGAATTTTCTAATAGCTTTTGTTAAACTGTACATTTAAAGCTAATTCGAAGAGCCAGCAATCATTGATCAAAGACAAAAAGATACAACAAAGGCAGCAGATAATCCTTTAGAGAGAGAGAGAGAGAGAGAGAGAGTCGTGCTGTCATAAAACTTAAAGGTGACTGCTGCAAATGTATCCGCAAGTATTTTAAATACACTCGTTATAAGCCGAACGAATTCATTCATAAAATTCTTGATCGTATGCCTAGTTTCGTGCTAAACGTCGATGTGTTGTTAAGTGAAACCGCAAAATCAATTAAATACATATTATGTAAAAGAATTTAAAAACTATTGAACTTAATCACGAATACGTAGCAATGCTGGTAGGTTTGTGTGCATGTTTAGTATACAAACACATACTGTTTTATTAAAAGCGTGGGATTTGTTTATGTTTGTAATTAATTAATATCGATTGAATTAAATACCGCTACACGCTCGCATGCTTACAAAAAACAAACACAGCATGACATATGTATGTAAATGAACATATACATGTATATGTGTGCACAAATTTAAATATATTTAACTGTTTCCGAACTGTAAATAACATGTGTTTAAATTTTGCAAAAACTACAATAAAAATAAAGTTGTTCACCTAAGATGGTGAACAACGTAAATAGTTTTTCAATACAAAAACAATGAAAAAGTGAAAAGAATTAATGAATAACGCAAACGATTTGCTCTTTCGATATGATATTCATCAAATCAAAATGTAAGCAATAGATTGATTATTAGAAATACATCAAGGGACCTTTAATTAAATCGAATTTGAATGACGTTGAATACACACCATCAGGTTTATGCTGACGGGGAGGGCAGCGAAGGGATCCTTCCATGTGAAAGCAAAGAGAAAATTAAATAAGATGATGAAATTAAAAAAAAAATTCAATTGAAATGAATTGAATTGAAGTACACTGGACTGCCTGCTTTAGAGCGACCTACAGTACCTTAAGTGAATCGAAATAAAATAAACTAGACCGAAATAGGCTGAATGAACAAGAAAATTGGCGTAAACTGAATTAAATGAAAGTGAATTACGAAGAATTTTAGATATCTACTACGCTTATTACAATTTATTCAGCCCGAAGGAAGAAAGTAAAATGAGCACTAGGGACTAAGGCTATCGGCCCGTTCTTTTCTTTCTTTTTTTACGGTAGACGCGATGGTTACTACAGCAGCTTCAATAAAGTTGAATATTTTTTTTATTATTAAATTTTGCAAGTGTTTTCAACACGTCCATAGGACTCGATCCGTGGATGTCTTCCAATAGTACGCCCATGTCGGACTTCTGTAAATGCTTTGATCTTGATTTTTCCGACGTTGATTGGATATAAAAGTAATTTATGGAAATATGGATGGATGCTTGGACCAAAACCCGACAATATACGAATTATGGTGAAAATATCTTAAAAATGACGGCCTAAACGCTGAACACGAAACTAGATGGACAGACGGGCGGACAAGCTTAAATCAAGTCAGAAAATGATACTGAATCAATCAGACTGAGTCAATCTCAAGTCCTTCTGGGTGTTGCATGCATTCGTACAAATTTAATATCCCTTTGTACCAGACCGGTCGGTATAAGGTACACTCAAAATACATCTTAAGTGCATTTATATTTTATTTTAGAAGCAAAGGTTACGTCATACGTTAAATCCCCAGAATTCTGTTTTACTTGCTATTATTTCACAAAATCATTGATTCAACAGGTTGTCCAAGGAATTGTAACCGGTTAGAAAGAAGAAAAAGGAATAATGAAGCATTTAAACGAACCTAAGCCTTCTGTACTGTCTGTAAAAGTGTCAGATAATGTCACCGCAATCAAGATACCATGCATCATAGAACACCTTATGTCAACATATTCAATTAAACCGATGTTGTTAGTATGCGGAAATTTTATAACAAGGCCGGGCAAGGCCGACTGTATTCCCCCCATCACTACGCCTAACACTTTCTTCTGATAAGCTAACACAATAACAGATAACTATGGACCATTGCACTTCTTAGAAAGTTAGACGTCGGAAGTAACTGCGAGTTCCTGCGCCTTAAAGAATTGTAAGTTAGTTTGTTTAATAGCTCTGTACTCCAATTACTTACAGAGTAGCGTGAGTGTTTGTACCATAGCGTGAGAACTAAAATCACAGCATAAGTACCAAAACCATGCAACTAGTCACGGCTCACTTTGCATTCTTCCACTTCAACAAGTACTTGCTGTGCTTGGTGGGTATTGAAGGCACTTAACGGTCGTTGTAAGCAACTCTTACGCTTGTGTTCCAAAGGAATTTTACAATCGATTTTATTCTCCCCAGACTTGTAAGGAGAACTGAAAGTCTTTATATATCCTCAGCCGACCCAATGGAAAATCAAAAATCGATCAATCGCTTCACTAAGAAATATTTTATTATTTTCTTATTATTTTAATAATTAAAAGTTTGTTTTAAATTTCCCTGGTAAACCAGTTTAAATAACTAGCAAGAACTTACTAATATTTTCTTTACTATAACAATATATACATTTTCCACAATAGTCTTATATTATTTCTAAGGAAATTTCTGTAATAAAATCTTCAGATGAGAAACATTTCCAATTGGGTTTCACTTGCATATTGATTAAACCATTGCCAATGGCATTTTGGGCCAAAAAGTTGAGTAAATAACAATCAACAAGAATTAGGTTTGATTACAAACTTATAGATGCATATATAAATGGAAATATGTACACTATGTAAATACAAATATGAATATATCGGCAGTATAAAGCTTACTGGGGAGCATATGTCACTGGCATGCCGGTTTGTTATTAGTTGCAGTCATAGTTGGTCGCGGTTGCCACATCTGCGTAAGTTAATCAATTTAGGTGAATACACGCTCTTGGAAGTATGTATAGCGCGTTAGTGGTAATAACAGGCGTAGTCCATAACAGAGGAAAATGGGTCCGATATGATATCTCCAAAACAATTTAAAATAATTTATCACAATCTCATTAATGGCCTTACACTTTACATCTGCGAAAGAGTTATCGCATATCTTGTTCATTGCATGCAGATCACGTTCGTATTCTTTCATCTTCAGCAAAGAGTCCATCAAAGCCGTAATGTTTGCAGTTTTCCAAGGAAATTAATCTTTTTAGATCGCGGCTAGAGACTAAAGTGAAGGTAGCTTGCCAAGAGAGCCCGCATCTTTAGGTTTACACTTCCGCTAAAATCTCCTTTTGCTGTGTTACAACCTACCTCGTAGTATTTATGTGTGTATTTTCTATTATTATACGGTTTTTGCAATCACTTTGTTGACTTTTAATGCCATCCAATTATCAATGGTCTTAGCAGCGGCCCGAACCAAGTGTGAAAGAAGCTAACTTGTTATGCCGCACATAGAGCATGCAACAAATTATTCTTGGGTTTGCCGAAAGTCCCTACGACTTTCGTTTCAGTTCCGGATTGGGTCGGAATTTGAGTTTTTAAGGATATCTAGATACGTATAGGCAAAGACTTGAGAGGCTCGTCTAGCTTGCTTTCGTATATATTATCCACGATTATCCTAGGAAAGCAGTGATTCCAATTTTATCCTATTTATCCTATTCCAGGGCGGAAGACTTTTGTGGACATCTTCCAGTGGTTTTGAACCTCTTTTTTGCTGCGCTGGCATCCTAACTAGGCATGACCCCGAACGGTTTACTGCTTAGAATGCGGCAGAGCGTTCATAACAAAAGTTGTGAGCTATTCACAGGTACTCGTAAGAGCCTTTATCTGCTGCGTCAATAAAGTCAATGATTTCTGACTTACTGACGGCCCCGTACTGTTGGATTTTCTTTATGGAGAATTAACCTCGAAGATGAAAGATGTGTGGAAAACATCGAAAGGCATTTGTGTTACTTTTGACTCCCCTTCATTTAGAAATTGTTACGCCTCTTTATTGTCTCGTATGCGGTTATGGCGTTAAAATATTTTTCCAATATTTATGTTTATAGACTTTTAACTCCCTCTCTTTCTCCTTCTATTTTGCCGTGCAGTCAATTTACCATTACTTGAAACCGCACAAGTTAGTAATTCGAACGATTTTATAGAGTATGAATTTCAACAGGCGCACTCAGTCAGGCATATCTAGCCGGTGGTGTGCATGTGCATGACTGCCTTTAAAAGCATGTACAGGTTATGCATAAAACAAGTGTGGCATGCTTTTTTGTTGTTGCAAATTTTTTTTTTTTTTTTTTTTTTTTAATACAATAACAAGAACAAGCGATCAGTATATGCAGCTAGACGACTACCGTATGCAATAGCAAAAGTCTATCCGTACGTCCGTCCTTGTATACCACCAATCGAATTGTTGCGCGTCTACTGGTGGTGCATTTGAACGTTTTTACCAAAATGAAAAACGTTGACACACAGGGTTGGACTTGATGTCATTTATCTCTTTCGGATTTATCATTGATTAATTACCAGCTGTGGTAATTTCTTTTGAAATTTATATAAATATACACACACATATAAGCACACGAGATCTTTATGACATTGTCCACCAATACGTACCTATATAGCAGAAAAAAAAGAAATGATCTAATTTTTTGTTAAAATTTTCATCCATTAACTAATTTGCACCTGAAGTAAAAAATGCTTAACAAAAAAAAAAAAAAAAAAGAAAAAAGGAAAAAGAGTAAATAAATAATATTAAAATAATTTATTATCCATAAGCCGTTAAGAGGCTTTACATAATTTTCGGATAAACATTTGGTGTATGTGTGTGTGTACACAATATAACCTTAAAAGTGATTTGTTTCAATTAATATATAAAAAATAATATTTATGAGTTATTGTTTAAATTATTTTTACTTTTCACTTATTGATAAACAAGCTATTTAATGCAAATCGCTTTCATACAAACATATCGCTATGAATCATTGCAAGCGATGCTTTAATAAATTAGAATATATTTATAAAAGTTACGCTCTTGTCGTGCTATTAAGATTTTTTTTTTTTTTTTTTTTTTTTTTTTTTTGTTACGTTATTATGTAAATATTTTTCAAGGAATTGTCAACAACTCATTATTCACGCATGCTATGACAAAGTTAAGTTTAACTATACTCTTCATCTTAGCTGTAAAGAAATCTCTTCCGAAATGTTTTTTCTATTATCCTCAAAGACAAATTAAATAATTTATTTATTTATTTCTTTAATACAGTCAGGCGTATCTCCTATTTCTCTGAGGAACGGGAAAGGGCAGACTTTTATCATAGATTAATGAATCGGGAATTGCGAAAGGGGTCGCAACGGTTACTCGCGAGTGATAAGTCACCGCGACACGCATGTGCATACATACATATACGTGCTACGTACGCATATAGTGCAGCACGTAATCATTTCCGAGATTGCCACATGGCAAAAAATTTATATCAGCTTTAAAAAGTGCCACATCTGATTGTTTTGTTTTCACCTAGCATTGGCTTGAGAAGAAAGCCAATAAATTGCCAGTGCTATCAGGAGACGTCCCCCATTCATGTGACAGTGTACTTCAGAGAGAAGGAGAAGGAGGAAAGAGACAGGAATGTGAGCGCAACCTAGTGAGTGTGTGCCTAACTGCTAACCAGTATCGCTTTATTGGCTAAGCGCGCACTGCATCTGCAGCCAAAGTAACCTCAGATGCACTTGAGATTTAAATCTGCGAACACAAACTTGGCCCCCACGATTCTTCCTTACTCGGCTACACAACTTCTCTCAGATTTTTTAAAGCAACACATGCTGGGACAGATGAATGCGTTCTTACGTGAAGAGAACTCGATCCACGAACTTCACTTTTGCCTCAAGAATGTCAAAAATTCTTAAGCATCTTTGAAAAAGTCGTTTAAATTGTGGAAGCGTTGTATTTACCGCTGCTGGTTTTTTTTTTTGTTCTTTAATGAAACAGAAAACATAGTCACATATAGTCAACTGTCATTAAAATAATTTAAGTCAAAATTAGATACGGCTTAAAATGCAAGAAAAACACAAATCATGAGCAACATGCAACATTTTAACTCAACCATTAAATGTTACTGACAACAAACAAGTCACCATCATAGGCAACAACCACATAAACACCAGCATATAAAGCATAGAGCAAGCATAAGTATTAAGTAAAAATTTGTGTGAAGCATAACAAAAATTTACAAAAACTTTATGAACAACAAACTAGATATCAAATACAGCAAATGCACAAAGAAAGAAGCAAAAAAAAAAAGAAAAAAGGCGGAAAAAAAGACAGAACGGTGGCCGACTAGCGTTCGTACGAATATATGTTAATAACTATTTGAGTTATTTATTGAGTCAATAAAACACTTGAAAAAATCATTCAATCAACTATGAAAAATAAATGCTTTGAAGGTTGAAAGAACTTGAAATTGAAAGTCATCTCTTAACTGAGAGGCAAGTAAGTAAGTGAGGTATCTTAGCATTGGCCGAAAGGCTCTTCATTACCTTAACTTTTCTAAGTGTATAGTATATAGATCTGGTAGCTTAGTAATAACACATGTATGAATGCACGACTGCCTGGTTGCTTGGTTGGTTATTCGTATTTGCAGCATGATATGTAAATGTGGCGACAATTTGCAAGCTTCAGCAGATCAGTTACGCCAAGCAAATCAAATCTTTTTACGCTATACAGATATGTTCGTTTCTTCATGAAAACTCTTTACCGAAACAACGATCGCAATTCAGTTAAAGTGCAGCGAATTTGTTACGTTTACTATAGATTTTCTTACTTTTCGTTCTTTTATATACATTTCATTAAAGTCGACATTAAAACAAATTTGAAAATAAAGTTGTGGCCGCTCACAGTAAGCCTAGACGTCGTAGGCGATGTTGATGCCGAGGAGAAAAAGAGATGCGAACAGGATTTGTATTTGTTACGCACAAGGGTTTAATATATCATAGTGCAAGTTAATATATGTTTTGAAGTAATCAAGTTCCCCAAAAAAAGCTGCAACTTCCACTGAGCGAATTGCGTAGCAAGGCGAGCGAAGCAAAGTTTTTATTACGCTTTTGCTTATCGATATTCGTTTACATCATTTCGCATTGGCTTTGTCTTCTGACTTGAAAGGCAGAAGTGATTTCGTTCGAACGTTTGAGTCCTTGCTTGAGCATCCGATTAGCCTTAAATGGCAACAATAATGACATAATTTGTAAAACATTTGTTAAATTGAAAATATATTCAAATTCTTTCGCAAATTAAATCGATTTCCAAATTTGTGTGTCGCCAGCATGCACGGCATGCTCGGTATGGTATGTTGGCCGTTGTGACATCGAGTGTGGATAACCATCAAATTTAGAGCCGATGGTCGTTCGTTCATTCATTCATGCACTCATTCATCTATTGTGATTGTCAATTACACACAACAGCAAAGAGTTTCTTCTCTGTTTGCATTGTCGTTATGGTTCCAAGCCATCAATCGCTTATGCAACAATTTCGTTTTTCGTTTTGCGTTTTCGTTTTTTCTTTTTCTAATGGCATTCATTGATTTTGAAATTTCACGTTACATACGTACGCATGTAGATGAGGTAAACATATGCATATGGCATGTAATATAATGGATATTTTATGTTTTCTGATTATAATTGAGATTTTACACGGCGCACAACCCAAGCGCTACAAACTTTACAAATCTTTTTGGATTTCAGTTTAATTTGGTCAAAACGAGTTTACCTTCTTTGCTGTTGATAGCTAATGCCCGTTTGTCTAATTTGATTAGGCCAGCTGCCCGGACTGGGCTATCATAAATTTAATGACTTCGTTAAGCTAGACTTGATTTGCTTAGTTTGGCTAATTTAGCTTTACCTTACCTTAGCTTACCTAGATAGTCTACTTTGTGTCTGGTGCGCATTTATTTCTCTCACATGTCTGCCAACCATTTAGAACCATAAGAGACATGCAGTCTAGTTGTATTACCTTGTGTGTAATGCTTTTTAAAAGTTAACTTTCAAGACAAAGGCTTGGGTATGCACGAGTAAATGTGACTCAATTACCTTTCTGAATACATCGAATACGCAAACTCGCATATTCCCAGGAATCCAAGACACGTTACAAAAGTCTAGCAAACTATTATAGAAAAGTGTTTTGAAAAGCGGGTTGAATGAGTTAAATGAAATCAAGAGAATTTCGAGAAAAACAAAATTAGAAAAACATAAACCGGTTCACCTTGTAGATGTATGCATGTTGTGTATTGCCCATGTATAGCATGTTACGTTACTTAACCTTCAAAGCTTATACTTAATATTATTTCCAAATACAACATATGTACTTAATCCCAATCTTATCGAGCAGTGAATTTGACTTGTTTTTGAACTTTGAACTCAAATGTTTCAATTATTTCATGCTGCATTTTCAAAAGTCTAACTACATCTAATTAGAATAACAACTAAGTGGTCATGTTCAAGTGCATTAGAGATTTCATTAAAGCCTTAGGTGTCAGTGCTTTAAGACTTTTTAGCCTTAGAATTTACTTCTCTAGCCAAGTTAATGCACAGCACCATTTAAAAAACAATAACAATTTTTCTAGAATTTTTCTGATTCCACTTCAATCGAGGCCAAGATTTGGAACACAGATGCGCTAGGCAACTATACACCCATGAGTTGAACCAAAATTTACGCCACTGCATTTTTTTTTCAGCTTTTAAAGGTTTTTATCTGTACAGCCTATATATCCATATTTTGATGTGTAGCCCCTGTTTCAATAAATTCGCGAAATTAAATTATGAACAAAAGCCATCACATTGTAATTATTCCCGGCGTTATCGAGAATGACTGGAAGACAAGTCGTGGCATAATCCGCTATAAAAACCCAAGTATGATTAGGATTACACTGAAACTGAAACTGTGCCTTTAAATATGATTTCGCGACTTTGGCTCTAGTTTTCATAGAAGGCATGACTCTAGCGCAAAGTTGCTTCAACGATGCTAATGTATTACTTAACTACAATATTTAAACAAAGCAAATAAGATCAAAATCCGGAGGGCCATTTCAAGCTGCAGGCAAACCAAATTCAAACTTATTTTATGGCTTCTGTCTTAGCTAAGAAAATAAGATTGAAACGTCTGCATGCCAAAAGCTTGGTGGAATACCAAGCACCGAACGGTAAATATCGCGAGACTTATTTTTCCTTCACTTTCACAAAAATCATTAGAACTGGCGAAGGGTTGCTTGGACTGGACTGAAACCTTTCGTAGATGGTAGATCGAGCATCGATTGTAAATTTTTCTGACATATGCCGTTGCGCTCTGAAACAAGATTTTCTTATGACAGAATACGGTGTATGAATTATCTTAGTTTATTTTTGATAGTGAACATGGTTCGAAAATGAAACGACTATAAGCACAGTAAGCTAAGATCTCAGCACCTTCGGCGCAAATGGCGCCATTCATAAGTTGTCGAAGAAATGACGACATGGTGTCGCTAATGATCATAAATGATCATGAATTCTGCAGTTTATATAGAGAAAGTAAAAAATCTGATAGTTCATCGACGGAGCCAGATTCTTGGTTTCTATTCAATATCGATTACTTTGTTTCATGTAATTCAATGATGTGTTTTTCTCTCTTTTTTTTTTTTAGATGGACAATCACTCTCCAAAAAGACAGAAAGAGCTGGGTAGTGGGACCGCAGGGTAGGGCATGTGTGCCTGCCTAATCGGTAACCTTTATGCCTTTATTGACTAAGCACTCACTATTCTTAGCGCGAAACTTATCTACTAGGGCTATAAGGCAGCTGAAAAACTCCAAGTAGCTTTCAATCCCGTCAGAGGAATTTGCCGATCACAGAGGGTTAAAAAAATTATTAACTTATCTTAATACAATTTCTTTCGAATTTTGTTCAATTTTTATAATTATTTTATTGATTTTTTATTTTATTGAATTTTTAGCAAAGACGCAACCCCTAAAAGGTAAACTCTTTTACGGACTATTTTCTACTTCGGTTTTGTAATAAGTTTTTTTTGCTTCGATGCTTACTTTCCTGAGCTAACCGCGAGCAATGTTCATCGATTAATTACTTCAGCCTCCAAATCAGAAAAATTGTAAAAAAAAAAAAAAACTATGAAACAAATAATGAATTTAAACCAAGCGCGCATGAATTGAACACAATTGAATAGATAATAATTCACGCCCCACCTTCGCACACGCGTACACATACGTAACATGTGTAATCGCGAAATGAATTTAAGAAAAAAAATAAATACAAACTATAGTACAACGATAACGGCAGGTTAACAGATTGGCCAACAAAATCAATACACAGCCAGCTATTGAAACACACTTGCGCAACAAGGAATGTTGCGGATAGACAAAAAACCAACAACAAGCGCTTATATGTTAAATCGATAGACATCACATATAGAGGTATCATATGTATGAGCATTGACTTTTTACTTAGTTTGTTATTAGTCGGCCATAGTTGGTCAGTTTCTGGCCGGCAGGCTCACAGGTAAAGCTGTCATATTCAAATTGCTAATATGATTGGTGTTTACAGATTAGAAAACAAATATTTCACAAATATTACCACCAATAACTTTAACAGCAAAAAAAAAAAAGAGGAAAGGAAACAAATGAAGAAAACAAAAATTGCTCATCTTCGATACTTGTTTTCTTCCCGCAGATATGTTTGCAAAACATTTCCACCCGAAAGCATTATCAAGCATTATGTTAAGGAGCTGCTTGCGCATATTTTAAGCAGTAGTATATTTCGTGTTGTATTTATTGCACGATAACCTTTTGACTTTACAATACCAACGCATCATATCATAGCAATGCTTAAAAATGAAAAGAAAGGAATAGCAATTCATTCGTTCGCACTCGTTCTCCCTTCTTCACTAGTGCAATTCAGAGTCAATGTTTTTATATTCCTTCTTTTTTTTTTTTTGTAGCTTAAAACCACATTTCACTGACAAATTGAATGAATAAAAGAGCAACAAGTGGTCGCTGTTAAAAAAGGCGGACAAACGGACGGACAGACAGACCCACAAACAGTCCAGGCAGACAAAATAATATTGCACATCTATGAATAAGCAATATATAGGTGTTTGTATATATGTATGAGTGTGTGTATATGCGTCCGATATTGTCTCTACCGCACAAATCTATATATATGTCTATATATATATATATATATATATATATATATACAGATGGCACACAACACTGCATCTGTTTGCAAAAGAAAGAAAGAAAGAAAATAAAATGAAAACAACAAAATTAGGCGTAAATGCTGCGTTGTGTTTAGATCTATTCAGACTTGCTAATAAGCGCGCAACACTGGTTTGCCTGTAAGCTATACGAAAGAAACTAAGTTGAATGGATTTGATGCTGGTGCCGCATTATTTTACGACAAACATAAATCGAAACACTTTCACGGTGCACGTTATAAACAGCAAACGAAAAATATTCCCCAATATTCTCTAAACTAATTGTATTTTTTTACATTGTTGCTTACCAGCACAGGTAAGCAAAGACTGCAATAATACTCTAACAATTATTTAGGGTGATCCCACTTTATGGCAAACGATCATTTAAAACTAAAAATACTGGATCATCAGCTATATATATATCGTAGAGCTCTCAAGTCAGACAAATTTTTTGGCATCTGCAGAATGGAAAACTTCTTACTTTCGGTAAAGAGAATAAAAGAAAGAAGAGTGAAGGCAAAAATTAAAAGAAAATCTAAAATTTATATTCCTAGCAACTGGAAGCTGTTGGACGATATTTTGATTGCCTTAGTCACTGTACCATTGCCTGAGATCCAACAGGCGTATTTAAGTGCAAGTTAGATTGACTTTCTGGGGATAGAAACAAAGCTCACTTGCTCACCAGCTTCCTTCCGGTAGGCAATGAACCTTTTTAAGCCCAAAAATGTACCGTTCAACTTAAGTTAGTGCTTAGACCCTTCCTTTCCCATCCATCCTTGCTTTCCCTTCCTTCGTCCGCATCAAGTTAGATCTACTTTGAATTTATAGAGAGGTAAACGCGCAATAAGATCATAATTGCTTGCTTTTCACTAAACGAAACTTTTGCATCGGGAATCAATCGTAACTTTTAACCAGTGAATCGAACCGAATGAATAAATAAACTTCAGGGTTTAAGGGAAGCAGGAAAAGGATTAATTTCGGCAAAAAAAAGACGACTCAAAATGTATTACATAAGCTTTGGGATCGTAAGCCTTCGCATGTACCTTACAAGCGAAAAAGTACAGCACACAAGTGCAAATTTCTCATCGCGGTCATAATGTAATTTACGAAATAAACAAAAACAACAACAAAAAGGAAAGGAAATTTTTGCTTTACGCTTGCGCATGCTTGCGCATGCTTAGTAGACAGTTTTGAAGGTGTTGCCATAACAGCACCAACCAATCATAGCATACACATACACACATGTAAAGAAGGAAGATAATTTTCTCTCTTCACACATATGAGCTCATAGGTACATTTCGGCTTATTTCTGGTATATTTTCAGCTAAATGGAAAATTGCTTTAGCCAAAAAACTATATATTCGTATGCATATAGAGAAACTAAGCCAAAGGCTAAAGGAAGATTTAAAAAAACCAATTCATACGAACATATGTTTATATTAATATATGCACGTATGCACGTATGTTTACATGAGTGCATATGTAGGTACACGTGCGTATATAATTTTCATTTCACAAACAATAATTTCGAAAACAAAGGTTCAGCTATGGTAACTAGGTAAGGATTGCAGAAAATCTTAGTTCAAAATAAAATTTGCTCATAAATTTAAAGAGTTGGCACATTACACGACCGAAATAGCGAACCAAAAAAAAAAAAAAACCAGATAACAATAACAACAACAGCACAAGCAGCAGCAGCAGCAGCAGCAGCAGTAATCATAAGATGACATCATCGGATATATGGCGAATATAAGTCCGAAAATCTTTTGCTACAATACTCGTAATATGCAAAACGTATGGCGTCATCTAAATTATATACAATCTTATGAATGTTTTGTTTATTTGTTTATTTGTTTGTTTGTTTGTAATATTGCGGATAAATAGCATACAAAAATAAAGATAATTTTTAATTAACATACATACCTAAGTATGAATGTAAGTGCAAATTTAAATGACCGACTGACGGATCGACCGATCAACCGACCTGCCAACCGACCGGCCATTAACGATCACAGCAATTTCCATATAACATATCATATGGCGTATAGTTATAAGAACGTAAATATGTCTATGAGTGTCTCTTTCTCTCTCTCTCTCTCTCTCTCTCTCTCTCTCTCTCTCTCTCTCTCT